ACAGGAAGAGCATTATGTTTTGTTCAATCCCAACCTCCCTATGGGTTACAGTGAAATTGCATTCCTGTTTGGTTTCCTAGAATAGAAAAGAAATGGATTTTTTTTTTTTTTTATGAAATAGAAAATGAAAATATTAATTTTTATATTTTGCAACTACTAAAAACCAAAACTAAAATTCAAAAATTTAAAATTTGTTTAAAACAAATTTTAATATTAACAACTAAAAGTATTTACTTATTTAATTTTATTAAAATTGTTTTTATTCTTATTTCTTTAATAATCATTATAATATGTTGCAAAAATTGGTGAAAGTAAACAAGTATTTTTTTTTAGAGTTTCAAAATTTGTAAAACCAAAACTAAAAATCTAAAACCACAACCATATTAAGTGGAGCCTTCGTAAATCGTTGGATTGGTTTTGAATTATTTTTATTTTTTATTTCTTTTATAATCAATTGGTTTTAGATTTTTTACTTTATTATTGAAATATGATTTCATTTGTTGTATTGATTTGCTTTTAGTAGTATACAAAAAATAAGTTTGAAATTTAAATGGAAAAATAAAAAATAAAAATATTGTTAGATTGCGCTATGGTAATTTTGTCCAAAGAGATAAATATTTCTATCCAGTTCTTTAAGACACCAAACATGGAATTGTATTACCAAATAATCCGATGGCATCCAGTCCAATCCCATCCTATTTTTGTATCCAATCCTGTATTTCCAAACATGCTCAAATTCCAAAGATGAATGCACTTTTCTTCTCTTTTTTCACAATTTCTAGACATAATGTCTTCTAATTCAATATCATAGTGTTTTCATTAATTGAGATGTTGATTCTAACAAGGCTACTTGATTGGACAAGTTTTGTCGTCTGGATTCCTTCCCTTATGACCTCTTTGAATGATCCAGATAACAGAGAGAAAATCTGAACTAGCAAAACTTGAAGCAATTGATTGTGGCAAACCACTTGAAGAAGCAGCATGGGACATGGTATGCCTGCAACACTGTTTGCGTATGCTGTTGTTGAGTGATTTGTATGTTTTCTCACCAGTTTGTTTGTCATTCAGGATGATGTTGCTGGTTGTTTTGAGTACTATGCAGACCTTGCTGAAGGTTTAGATGCAAAGCAGAAGGCTGCTGTCTCTCTTCCCATGGAAACATTTAAGTGTTATGTGCTTAAGGAGCCCATTGGTGTTGTTGCATTAATTACTCCATGGTACTCTCCACTTTCTTTTTTTCTCATTTTTTTAATTTTTGTTTTCTCTTTTGGACCACCAGATTTATTTATTTGGTAATTGCATGTGATCACATAATAGGAGAGATCCCAAATTCTATTTCTTCTTTGGGTTAATATCTTTGCCGAGAATTGAGAGTAATACCATGGATCTAGTGTCTGACAACTTAACTAGCTTTTAGTTGAAGCCATTAGAAGGAGTTATTTCAAGCCAAAATTGCATTACTTGCAGGTTGATTATTGTTTATAACAATTTACATAATACATTTTGAATTTTCACACCAGCCATATTGGTTATAAGTTTCTAATTTGGTTTAGTTGTTAGCTTTTTCAGTTTGTTGCAATTTGTAAATTAGTAAGCCCTTTTTTTACCTTTTTCTTTACTGTTTAAGGTTGATACTTGTCATTCTCTGTGGCGATAGAATAATTTCTTGATGTTTCTTTCATTTTCTTGTTGCATTTACAATGCCAATTGTATTCATCTTTAATGTGTGCCAATATGTATAAATTAAGTGTTAGATTGATTTTTTTTTTTTTTAAATTATCAATTGCAAGTGGTAGAAATTTTGGGTTGGTGATGCTTGTCTCTATCCTTTCTAGATGCTGCAGTGACAGTGTGATGATTCTTGAATTTCTTATCATAATTGCTTTGGTTGATAACCTTTTATTAGCATCTTGAAAATCAGTAGACTAAGGACTTGTCTTCATTTATTTGAAGGAATTACCCACTATTGATGGCAGCATGGAAAGTGGCTCCAGCTCTGGCTGCAGGTTGTGCAGCAATATTAAAGCCTTCCGAGTTGGCATCTGTGTATGTTCTCAATCTAATTGCCCTAGTTTTCATGTTGTTTTCATTTTAAAAATTTTTAGTAATGTTTGCTAAGTTTATATATATGTTCTCTTTCTGTCATTTTCCCCTATCAGGACCTGCTTGGAGCTGGCTGCAGTGTGTAGAGAGGTTGGCCTTCCTCCTGGTGTTCTCAATATTTTAACTGGACTGGGCCCTGAAGCTGGTGCTCCTTTGGCATCCCATCCCCATGTTAACAAGGTGAAGTTGTCTCTAATCTCTTACTTCATTGGACTTGTCTATGAAATTTAATCATTATGTTTCTTGGAAATTAGTTATCAAGAGATTCCTGGTATTAAAATATCTCCCATTCCTTATTGCTAATGGTCAGTTCTTGTCAGATTGCATTTACTGGAAGCACAGCAACAGGTAGCAGGATAATGACAGCAGCAGCCCAGATGGTTAAGGTTTGTCTTTGTTCTAATATCTAACCTCAGTTTCTTCTATTATGCATAAAGTCTTTAATATGGTCTTTTTGGCAGCCTGTCTCTTTAGAGCTTGGTGGGAAAAGCCCGATAGTTGTGTTTGATGATGTTGACATTGACAAGGGTTAGTACTGTTTGACTCAAAATTTTAACCATCTTTATATATATATATATATATATATTTATTTATTTATTTATATTAAAGTAGATTGGACTTGTTTTGTCAGAATAAGTTGTTTCTAGCATTTAAGGCTTTTGAAACCCATCACTATAGAAAAATGATTAGATGTTTATGCTTGCTAATCAGTGTCTTTTGTATTGTTATAGCTGCGGAATGGACTGCATTTGGTTGCTTCTGGACAAATGGTCAAATCTGCAGTGCAACATCCCGGCTTATTGTACATGTAAGTTGAAGGGACATGATTTGCATATGTATGCATTTGATATTTTCTTCTGTTTTATGCTTACATTTGCATAATAGGAAGATCAATGTTTGTCAGAAGGGTACATATTTTTTGGTACAAAGGGAAAATCTATACAATTAAAAAGGAATCATCTGCGGGAAGCTTACTTCCAAACTATCTTCCAATAAGAGGGTATTCAACTACGGCAGTGCTTGCTGCTGGAAACATTGTAGCCCTGGTGGGTGTTACAAGGCCCTTTTGGAAAGCCAATCAGAGCATTTATAAGCTATGTTCAGTTAGGCCTTAACTGCAGGAGCAAACTGACCTAATCCATGCATAAAGCCAGTCTTGCTAATGTAAGCAAACCAACTAAGCACTGGAAGGCATTTCGGTGGGCTTGTACTCAGAAAATCAGCCCCACAGAACCAATCTTGGTCAAAAAGGTCAAAACGCCTACAATGAAGTTACCTCTCAAGCTGAATAAACTATCAGAAGATCACACCCAACAAATATAAATCAAAGTCCCTGCCCCTACGTCCCAGAGGGCCTTCCATCCTTCATGGCTAGTAGCTTTAGTGACCCTAGAACCTTGCCCAAGTCAACTTTGTCTCAATATTAAGCTGAATCTTAAGTGGCTACCTACTTTTTGTTTGAGCTATAAAAAACTTTTCAACAATGGGGAACGCCTTGCTAACATGGTTTTGTTTCTTTCATTTTATGAAAAAAATATGATTTCTCTTTCCTTATAAATCCTGACAAGTGACAAGGCTTCCAACGGAAATATACGATGGATTCCTATGAAATGAATCTAGCACTTCTGCTATAAAGATTTTTAGTTGATAATGTGGCATGCTCTTTTCAGATCTTTATCTTTTTCTTCTTGCTTCTATCTTACCTTAACATATCATAAGAGGAACATATTTCATATATTTCTTAGGAAAGCATTGCAGCAGAGTTTCTGGACAGACTTGTGAAATGGGTCAAAAACATTAAGATTTCTGATCCCTTGGAAGAAGGGTGCAGGCTTGGCCCTGTTGTTAGTGGTGGGCAGGTACATGTGTTGGTTTTAACTATTATCTTAATCTCCTAATTGTTTATATTTCCATTTCTTTTGTTTGTGCTCTAAGGGGGACAGTGGAAGGATGTTAATAATATATCCTTGCTTCCTCACTGCCTTTCCTTTTCACATATAGATACCTTCCAAAAACAAGAGTTGGTAAAGAAGCATGAACTGGAAATTATTTGCAGATAGTGAATCTATATTTTTTTGTAACTCATACCAGATAAATTTTTTTTTTTTCAATGAATTAAAGATGAATTAACTCATACCAGAGGAATTAAAATCAAGATAAACTAAATGTTGGAAGTCTTATTGGATTCTACCAGTTTCACAGTCCACTTTAGTAGCTCAGCGTCTCATTTGATGAGTAAACTTTCCATGGGGATCAATCGTGTTTTAGCTTGTTGTCAAGTGTTAATTGTAGACAGTTTCCTGATAGGGATTTGTTTGGGGTAAGACATTTAATTTACAAAAAAGTGTAGTGCAGTCCAGATTGTACCAGACTGCACTACATTAACCATTGGATGGGGGGTTGGGGCCCTTGATATTGGGGCTCTCCAGCCCATCCAATGGTTCCTGTTTTACAGTCCGGTGCAATCCAGACTGGAAAACAGGGTTCCCTTTAATTTATATACTTTGAATCTTTGATTTATTTGGTTGTTTATCTGATGTTCTGATGTAATAATAAAAACGACTCTCCTCCAACCATGAGGAATATAATCTTGGATTAAGCAACTGATGTAGACTCGAAAATGTGTTATTATGTCAATTACTGTGTTCAAACTGCAAGATCTTGTGCTTACTGATGGTTAATTCATCTGCTGCAGTATGAGAAAATATTGAAGTTCATCTCAACAGCTAAAAGTGAGGGTGCAACCATTTTGTGTGGTGGAGTTCGTCCTCAGGTACCATTTCCTGCTTCTCATTTCTTGCACTATTTTCATTTGGCATCTGTCACCTCCACTTAGTTATTTCACAATGTCTTTTACAGCATTTAAAGAAGGGATTCTTTGTTGAGCCAACTGTGATCACTGATGTAACAAACTCCATGCAAATCTGGAGGGAAGAAGTTTTTGGACCTGTTATATGTGTTAAAACATTTAGTACTGAAGATGAAGCCATTGAATTGGCAAATGATACCCAGTAAGTTTGTTTGCTTTACAATTTGAGATATCCAGAGAGTGAATTTCATCGTTGGGATAATGATGATGAAATGAGATTTGGTATTTTCTCAGGATTTTTTTCTCATTTCCTTTACTCTTTGTATTACTTTGATCCGAAGAATTTATCCAGATAATTATTACTGTTCCTCAGTTTTGGTTTGGCTGCTGCTGTGATATCAAATGACTTAAAGAGATGTGATCGCGTTAGCAAGGTAAGACCTGTTTGTATGTGAGGTTAGAAGTATCTACCAATCATGCAGCTGTTGTTAATCTTTCACTACTTTATCGTGCAGGCTTTCGAGGCAGGTATTGTGTGGATCAATTGTTCACAGCCTTGTTTCTGTCAAGCTCCATGGGGAGGCAACAAGCGCAGTGGTTTTGGGCGTGAATTAGGAGAATGGTAGTTCCCCAGTTACCTTGCTTGTCAAAACACCATTTATTTAGGACTTCTAGAAGTCTGTATAAATGTTTTTCTTTCCCCCCAAGGCATGCATAAATGCCTCTTTAAGCCAGCGATGCGGTATTTTATGTACTGTCTTTCTACTTAGGTGTGGGCAATATCAGACGTGGATACTGAAAGCATTGTTCTCTTCTTTTTTTTTTCTCACAGGGGACTTGATAATTACTTGAGCGTGAAGCAGGTTACCCAATATATCTCTGATGAACCATGGGGGTGGTATAAGTCTCCATCAAAGCTATGAGAGCACCATAATCTGTGAAATAAGGTGAGAAAGGCTACCAGTAGCATGAACTCAATATCGAAGAGACTGAGTGATTGGTAGTTATTATTATATAATAATTGAAAAAATGAGAGAACTAGTTGTTTCTTCATTATTTTCTTTTCTTTTCTGTGCATTATTAATCCGACAATCAGTGCCGTCATCATTCCCATCATTGCTTGCTTGGCAGCATTTTACTGCTGAGGGCAAGTGGTTGGAAGCTGCATGATTAAACTCTCTTCTTCTAGAAGTTATTGTGTTATATACTAAATAAATTTTCTGTCTCCTCATAATAATCACTTATTTACTTTGGTTGTGTTTGGTTAATAGCTCTTTTTTTTATCAAAGTAAATTACATAAAAATATGGTAGGAAGTATGAAGTAGTTATATCAATTTTCGTCTAATGGGTTATGCTTGGAGAAGCATTTGGGAGGCGAGGACTGTTCTTCAGTGGGGCCGCTGACTGGAGATGACTGGGGCACTAGAGTTTGGGAGGACCCATGGTTGCCAGGTTGTCTTGTCACGGTTGAGGGTGTCTACTGCTAAGTCAGCTGGTTGTGATGTGGAATTTATTAATAAGCTGATTGATGATGATACGCATGATTAACAGAGGGGGTAGTGGGGAATTAGTTCCATCAATACGATGCTCAGAGATTTTGTCAATCCCACTTAAATGGAGGGGGAATGATCTGTGGATGTGGCAACATACACGGCATGGAGGCTAAACCGTCAAATCTGGTAGCTGGACGGTAGGAGGGGTTAGTCCCCTCGGTTTCGAATGGGCAGTTCGGAGGTCAGTGCATATGGAGGTAGCATGTGCTTGAGATGAGTAAGTTGTCGATTTGGAGTGATTACCGTAGGATTCTACCATCAGAAGGATAACAAGAAGAAGCATGTGATGGTTGAAGCATCATGTCCAGTGTGTGGAAGTAGAAGGTGAGACACTTATCCTCATTGCTTTAAGGAGTGTGTTGTTGCTAGAGCGGTTTGGGCTGATTGCCCTTTGTCGTTGAGGGCAACAGAGCTTAGGGGGAGTAGTTTTGAGGAGCCTTTTCGTGAGGTGGCCATGTATTGAGCTGTGAGGAGTTAGAGCTGTTTGTTGTTATATGCTAGATTTCTGATGGTCAAATGTGCAAATCACCCTCCAATGTTTTTAAGTTGAAGTAAATTAACACTTGAAAAAAAAGTTGAAGTAAATTAACACCTCAAAAAAAAAAAAAAAAACTGAAGTAAATTATTACTTCAAAATTTTATTTTAAAAAAATTGATTTAAACTTAACAGTTGATATTAGATTTTGTTAAATTATTATTCTTGATATTTAATGGAAGGTCAACGAACACCATTAAATTTAGGTTAATTTTTTTAAAATAAAAATTTGAGGTAATAATTTACTTTATTATTATTATTTTTTTCTAATTTGCTTGAAGGGGTGTAATTTGCACCTTTTGCTGATTTTTATTAGTTATGATCTAGAAGGAATGACGCTCTATCTTCGAGATCTGCTGCCGGAGCGATTTATTAACGCCATGCGGTGAAGTGCTGATTGAAAAAAAACCATGCGGTGAGGTGTGTTCCAAGAGAATGAGGCAACTAGGGAATTAATAACTGGGGGTATCGAATAAGGACGACTAATAGTTGAAAAACCAAAATAGGAGTTTACCAATGATTTTTCTATTTGAGCGGAAGAAATTTGATTTTTTTTAAATAAGATTTTGAGTTCTAGTGTTGTGAATAAAGAAACAGGCGTTGTGAATAAAGAAACAGGCGTTGGAAGAGTTTTTCCTTAAATAGGGTTTAACGCAACTCGATTTTGGATTAGTCGAGACTTAATGTGATTACTGGATACCGAGAGATTAGTACTCAAAAAAACCAAAATAAGAGTTTAATTTTTTGTTTAAATTTAGAATTAAATAGTTTTTGACAAAAAAAAAAGTATAAAAAAGTAATTAAGGTCATACAACAAATTGTTTGTTGTTAGGGTCATAATTCTTTTAATAAATAAGTGGATATGATATTTGAAAATATTAATATATAAGTTAATTTTAATTTATTAAGTAACAAATATTGGTTTTATTGGTTATTTATAATTAATAGTTGTAATTATTGACTAATTTTAATAGTTAAATTAAATAAAATTAATATTTTAAAAAATAAAATTTAAAAATTTATATAACCTTAATAATTTATTGTGTGATATTAATCATTTTTCTTGAGAAAAAAAAATATTTTTTTATACATCATAAATTATTTGTTTGGCAACACAAGTTAAATCTCTAACTCACAAATTAAAATTTTTAAAATTGTAAATACAAATTCACCCATGCTCTAATTAGTGAGGGGAATGTTGATTTCAAATAACTGCAAACTTCAGCTCCCGGATCTTTTCGTTATGCCCACATCCTTAGTTGCGCTTCCTATAAGGTTTGTAATCCACGGGCGTAGCATTTCAGCGAGGTGATTCATAATCATACTTCCATTAATCTATTCCCACCCCTTCATTTATGGCCATCATACAACATTTTTATGGAAGTCAAATAGGCCAGCTAACCTCAGGGACCAATATTGGGTGACTCTCTTTTCAAAGTCCTTCTTATCTGTTAATTTGGAGAAATAAAACGTTTCTCTCTCTTTCCCCCTTTTCTCTCCCTTCTCTCTTGTTTCTGCCTCCCTTTTCCGGGGCTGCGTTGTTTTTGCC